TTCCTTCCTTCCTTCCTTCCTGCCTGCCTGCCTGCCTGCCTGCCTGCCTGCCTGCCTGCCTGCCTGCCTGCTGCCCTATGATGCACAATTTCACCCAGTTAAAGGTTACAGACATGAGAGTTTTAGTAGTATATAGATAAGTTGGTTTATCCAAATGGTGGCCTGAAACATACTGTAGAGAGTAAGGAGGATGACCTTCATGGAAATACGCAGGAACTGTTACATAGGCATTAAGGGCTGAAACATTTTTTTTAAAATCCAAAGGAAAGAGAAAACATTTGGAAGTGGCTCAAACAGACACACCCTGATTCATTGGAATATAAGAAAAGAGGGAACAGCACAATCAGATTTGCAAGATTTTGTAATAACCAGTCTCAATAAAAGTAGTTTTTGCCTTCCTGCCCTCCTACGTTATTAAACTCTGAGAGGAACACCACCTGTTTTCTGTCTGCTGTTCTGTTTTTCCATCCAACTACAGGTGTCCTTGTTTAGTGACTGCCTCATTTAGTGACCATTTGGAGTTGTGACGGTGATGAAAAAATAACTTTATGACCAATCCTCACATTTATGACCTTTGCAGGTCTGTAAAGCAAAGGAAAGTTGATGTAAGATCATAAGCACAATCACGATTTCACTTAGTCACTGCTTTGTTTAATAACTGAGTTGCTGGTTCCAATTGTGGTCCCTAAGCAAGCGCCACCTGTATGTTCCAAGTTAATAGCTGAGTAAAACTCTTTTGGTTATTGGCAAGGGAAATTGGTCATGAAGTACTGGATGCTTGATTGAGAAGGTAAAATTTGTTCATTCATTCACCTGATGAAATACAGTCTAATGTTCCTTAATTATCTCGGCAAACATACCTAAACATTCTCTGACTGGGAATTAATCTGGCTTTGCCTTTCCTTAATGTATAGGCTCTACTTCATGATAGCTCACAATTTTTGTGATGTTCACAAGGGGTAGTTGTCTTAAACCTGGGTGATAATCTCCCAAATTATTCAGGGGCTGTCTTTATCACAGCTCCCCCTATTTCCTCAGCCAAAGATTTGGCTGGCAGTCTTAGTTCCATGTAATTTTTAAAAAATATTAATTTACAGCAGTCCATCTCATGGTTGTGGTATACCCCAGAGCCTCCACCAGCTTATGGATCTCAGGGCTCAGGGCTGCTAGATACTTCCTCTTAGCTGTAAAACAGTGTCCAGATCAAGAAAATCGTTATTTATGTTAGCAGCAGCTGATGTCAATGTATCTATCTATACATTGGCTATATCATTCTGCCGGTTGACTGGATTTCTGTAAACTAACCCTGGCCTGCTTATTGGGAGTTTTAAAGAGGACAATGACACTCAGGCTTGTCCTTTGCAATTAGACTTCTCAGTCTGGCTGTGACATTTTTGCAGGGCTAAAATGCAAATGAGGCTGCTGTGATAATGGTATCTCATTTGCATTCAGAAGGATAGAAACGGCTATTTCGGTGGCTTTCTCTTTCCCGTTGCCTTGAGGGTCACAGACATTTATGCTGGAGTTAAACAATTTACCTTTGGGATAATTAACCCTATCTGAGAATAGAGACACTCTTTTAAAAGTTTGGAAAACTTGCTTTGGCTTCTGTCTGAAGCATAGAAAGAAACTTTAACATTTTCAGGAGCCTGGAGGAGAAAAAGTAATTTTGAACCGAAATAAAATCCTTCGTATGACTCTCAAACTAGGTAAATAGGATATAGATTCTAGATTGATATAACAAGACTGACATTACAGTAGCTGACTTAGAGAGAAAACTATGTCTGAGGAATGCTGCCAGCACCCTTGTTAATCCCAGTTAAAGGGCTAAGCAAAGGAATTTGTTTGGTAGCTAGATTTGTAGCAAGCCATTGTTTGTTACAATGGAAGAGCCTATAAAACAGGCCCGTTAGCTGTACATGAAATATTTATGGTGTTTATTCACCATTTTGCCTCCCTTTATGATAAAGAGTGATTAAAGTGGTAGGCCTCATATCCTCCTAGTTGCACGGATTGCAAGCCTGCTTTGTAACACGTAACGACTCTGCAATTTGCCATGGAACTTCATGTACAGACTGAACTGCCCTTGGCACACTCCTTATTGAGAAATCACATTGGTTGATTCTCCCTCAGATAAAGCAGACTTACTGTTTGAAATTCCTTTGATTGATGCTGACAGGGTAGGAGAGGGAGTGGTAGCCTGTAAACCAGTTTTAGCTATTTGAATACCTTCCCAATTCTCCAAAGCAGCCTTGGGTTTACAGTTGTCTTCAACCTCAAAGGCAGCAAATCTCTTAGAAGGAATAGGTTGCTACACAGAATTCATCATTT